GTTGCTGCGGTGTGGCTCGAATCCGTGGAGCACTCGTAGTACGGGAAGGAAGTGACGGTGCATGCTCGCTCACTTGCTGCACCTCCTCCTCTTCTTCCTCTGCATCATTGGCCTCCTCTCCCCCATTCACAAGGGAGGATTGCCTTGTGGTTGTGCTGCCGCTGCTCAGTTCCAAAGGCAGCTCCACATGCTCCAAACCGGAACTCTTCACCTCCCCAAACCGCACGCCTATCTTCGCCTCATTCTCCGCCTTCCAATCCTTGTACATGAAGTTCTCCATGAACTTGCAGTCCCTGCTCACCAAGAACTTCTTGGTGAATGGGTCCCAAAGAAGCCATCCCTTGCTGTTTTGAGCCATGCCCAAGTGCACGGCCCACACCGCCTTGGCACCAAGCTTGTTGTGCCGAAGATGCTTAGGCACGAGCGCCATGCACATGCACCCGAACACCCGAAGCATATCCACCTTTGGCTTCCTTCCTAGCCACTCCACATAGGGCACCCATTTGTCTGCTCCCACATGAGTCAAGGCTCTGTTCTTGGCCACACACGCGCTCCGCACCGCATCAGGCCAGAAATAGTCGGGTAGCCCGGCTTCAATGAGCAACCCGCGTGCCGCCTCCGTGATTGTGCGGTTCGCTCGCTCGACGATGCCGTTCATTGCAGGGGAGTATGGCATGGTGAGGGAGTGCCGAATACCATTCTTCTTCAGCCACAACCCAAACTCCTTGCTCAGGAACTCTCCCCCTCGATCGGTGCGGATTGACTTGACTAGACGGTCTTGTTGCCGCTCCACCATCGGGAACCAATCCGTCTTCAACGTTTCAGCCACGTCGCTCTTCTTGGCCAGCACGTACACCCAAGTCATGCGGGTGTAGACGTCGACAATGGTGAGAAAATACTCAGCTCCAGCAGCTCCAAGCTTCAGGGGGCCCACCACGTCCATCACCACCTCATCAAGCGGTGCCTTTGCCGTTGCCTCCGAACTAGGGAACGGAAACCGGGTGAACTTGGCTTGAATGCACGTCGGGCAGCCAAGCACCTCATCGGGCTCCCCCTTCACACGTATGCCAGCAACCATCTCATTCTTCACTAGCTGCTGCAAGATGGGCAGGGCCACATGCCCCATGCGCCGATGCAAGGTGAGCCAATCACACTCCCCCGTAGCCGAAGTTGGATTGGAGAATGCCGCGCTCGCAATAGCGCCCCACATACTCTCTCCGTAGTCCTCCTCCGCTGCTGCCTCTGGGTTCTCCTCACCCTTTTGCTGCTCCTTGGTTGCTGCACCACTCTCCTTAGGTTCACTGAACTTGCTGGTCCCTCCAGGTTTGCTCTTCTTGAGCTCATTCTCCTTAGCGCGACCGTTCGCGCCATCGTCGCTACCGACCGCTCCATCCTTGGTGCTGATGCTTGCTGCCACTTGCCTCTCCTTAGGCATAGGGACAACTGGGATCTGCCACATCTCGTTGTAGACATCCCTGTCCTCATGAAGGTCCCAAAGAATTCGATCGCCAAGCCTTGCGGTGTAGGTCTTGGCTCCCTTCGAGTTCGTGTCCATGCCGGCCTTTGCCAACCGCCGCACGGAAATCAGGTTTGCAGCAAGGCTGGGCACCCAAAGCACGTTCTTGAGGCCCACCATCTTCCCATCAGCACCCTTGAACATGGCCTTGCCCATGCCTTTCACCTCTGCTCGCTGCCCCAAAGCCGATGTGACATGCTTCACCGGTGACGGCTCGAGTTCGGTGAGCAAGTCCGGGCGAGGTGTCATGCTATAGGTAGCGCCACTATCAATCACCCAATAGTCCAGGGGGTGTAGGGTCACCTTCCCCACAGCTGCTGGCTCCTCAAAGCCTTCATCCTTCTCTGGACCAGCCGGTACTTGCGTCGACACGAAGTAGAATAGACCCGGGTATCGATCGTCGCTCGGGTCCTTGTCGTTATCTCCGCTCTTCATGTTTGCAGCTCCGCCACCGCGACCGCCACGGCCTCCACGGCCTCGTCCTCTCCCTCCTCCTGCTCCTCTACCCTCTTGGCCTTGAGCAGGGGTCCAACCATCAGGGAGTTTGTAGCAGTCGCGCCACATGTGTCCGCTCTTGTGGCAATAGTGACACTCGCCGTCGAATCGGCCGCGACCGCGTCCGTAGCTCTTGTCGTCGCTGCCGTAACCGCCACTCCTGCGGCCTCCGCCGAAGTTGCTGCCACCAAACCTTCCTCCCCCTCGTCCTCTGCCTCTTCCTCGACCATATCCACGGCCGATGCTCGCTGCCCCAGCGCCATCCGCACTCGCCAACTCACGGCGGCGGAAATCCTCTTGAAGGATAGCTCGCTTCACGTCTTCAAGCGAGAGGCGGGGCAAGTCGCGATTAAGGTTGATGATGAGCGAGGACCATGACTCTGGGAGTAAGGCCAGCAACTTGGTCTTCTTTTGGAGCTCACTGTAGTTCAAATCAGCTCCCTCAAGCCGCGTCAACAAGTCGAAGAATTTCTGCACCCCTTCTTCAACCGCTTCGTTTTCTTCAATTCGTAGTGCCGCCATTTGCCGTTCCAACACCACCGCTACCGCCGCTGTTGCAGGAGCATGTACACCCTTGAGAGCAGCCCATGCCTTTGGTCCTTTCTCTGGTTCACGCTGGAATGGCTTGATGTGACGGATCTGACTGCTCCCCAACGCTTGCCCAAGTAAGAGATAGCCTTGTGCGCTCTTCCGCACCCACGGGCTCTTCTCCGGGTCGTTCTCGGGGCGCTTCTCCGTTCCTTCCATCACCTCCAGCAGGTCATAGTGGTCAAAGATGTTCTCCATCTTGAAGGACCATTCAGCAAAGTTGTCACCGTTGAACTTGTCAAGCCCAAACACCCTAGGCTCATCCCTAGGTGGGCCAAGACTTGGTTGCATGGGCGCCATGGCTGAATCACGGGGTTGGCCTTGAGCTTGAGCTTCTCCACTGCCACCAGCACCTCTGCCACCCCTTTCCTCAGGTCCAAACATTGTCGAAACTGCTCCAAGGGGCTCTGATACCACTTGTTATAGTCACAAAAGGGTTGAATGTGCCTAAAACGAAAGATAGAGAGCACAGACGGATTTCTGCACAGCGGCTTCAAACGTTGATAGCGTTCTGCTCACAGCTGCAAATGACTTGATTCAAATTGGATCTAGAGCGTCTTCACGTCGTCTACAATTATCAATTTAGATTGCACGATTTGATAAAGAATTGACGACACAGCGTCAGTTTGAACGAACAGTACTATGGCAGCCACTATAGTATTAGAACACAAGATAGGAAGAGTTACGAGTTGGGAATGACTCCCAGCTCCTACAAACCCCAAGAGCCGAGGTACAGTGATGTGGAACAGTGCCACACTGTCCCCAACCACGAAGGGTCTCGAAACTACCCTTCACTAGGGCCTACACCAAGTGAAATGTTACACTACACAAAGTAATGTAACTATCTTCAATATCTTGAGGTGTACCCTTTTGGCGAGCTTCGAAATCACTTGAGGCTTGACACCAAGGCTCGGGCTCTTCATCACAAACTCATCCTTGAGTTCTTGATGGGTCTGCTGCACACACCTGCGACACGCCAAACGTTCGACACAGGACAAAATAGAAACCGCGCACGACAAAATAGAAACCGTGCGCGAGACACAAACGACCGCGTAACACGCGTCTAGCGATAACTCGCTATTGACTCGACACACACACTCGACATCATGACTCAACATTCACACACAATTATAAGCATGAAATATATATTATCCCATGCCCTCATACCATTCCATACACACACACATTCACGCACACGGACAACAAGCCGAGTGCAAACCGTAGGGTTGCACCAACAATGAGGAGTACAGTCTATTCTATAAAAATGTGGTTGAGAGGGATAATAGTGAGCGGGATGTATGGTGAGAGGGATGCAGTTTGAGAGGGATTATAGAGGCAACATGCATCCAAGTTTCGGCTCTTCGAGACATGAGCACCCCTAGGGCCCAAGCCATGGCATGCCATGCCAAGCCATGCCATGCCATGCCCTCCCGTAACATGCCATGTCAATGCCCTGCCATGCCATACCATGCTCTGCCTTGGCCTGCATGCCCTGCAGGAACAACTCTTTTTGGAGATAGATGCAGTATGGGAGAGGCGAGTGTGGCACATACAGCACCGAAAGGCTAGTGAGAGCACTGATTTCTCCAGGAAGCATGCCTTGGATCCCACTCCTTGCTGCACGACTGAAGAAAGACGCACGTTAGGGGCAGGTGAGGACGGACTGAGAGGTAAGTGCGTGAGAAAGGGGATGAGGGGAATGTGTAAGGGTGTGAGGGGGTGGGAGGAGAGACGGGATTCTGGTCAAGGGTCATTGCTTGGTGGGGCAGAGCAGGATTTGAGCCGGATGGAATAATGGAAGGAGTGTGGTCATTGCTGCTGGAAACTGCATTCTGGCACTGAGGCTTATGAAGACTATAAGACTTGGATACCTGATCTGATTCTCCAGAAGCGAAGACTTCAGTGTCTCATACATGCAAGATGGAAACAGGACGGACCATGCAAGCATGGCAAGCATGCTGGGTTTATGGTGCAAGGGTGCTGGTGTTGGGAATCCGTTAAGGCCAGTGATACTTCACTGAGTGTTTTAATTAGCTTACAGCACTCGCAATCCGTTGAGGTCTTTTATTCTTGCTGTTAGGGTTCCTGAGAAATCGTTGTTGGAAATGTCTCTGGTGGGAAGAGAGAGACGAGGAGACGGAAGGATGGGAGAACAATGCACAAAGTTTTCTATGAAATTATACATAAGCTTGGTTTTGTATACATGTGTTCAACAGTAAGCAACAGTGCATAGAGCAATGGAGCGCAGTGCAGCACAGCTCATTGCAGTACTTCACAGCACAGCACAGAACAGTGCTGCTGCATACTGGGACAGCAGTGAGGGGGTGTGGCAGAGACCGATACGCCCCACACACTAGCTAGGTACATACATCAGTTGGAACCAGCCACACCAAACCCCCCGCTACCCCACGGCTCCCTCCCTCCTTCCCTCTTCCCAGCGTGAGCCATAACAGACGCACAGCACAGCATGCAGAGGGAGTGGTATTTGATTGGAGTGAAAGGACGAGCAGACGCACATCAGAGCACGCGGTGGGATTGATATTTGAGAGGAGTGAGAGGAAGGGAAGACGCATATCAGAGCACGTGGTGAGAGTGGTATTTGAGAGGAGTGAGAGGAAGGGAAGACGCATATCAGAGCACGCGGTGAGAGTGGTATTTGAGAGGAGTGAGAGGAAGGGAAGACGCACAGCGCAGTGAGAGTGGTGAAGACGACTGTTGCATTGTCCACATCGCCAAACAGCTGATTGTTCGCCAGTGACCTGTGGCACGCACACAAACCAAATTATGGGAGAGAGGTGGAGGGGCGGGAGGAAGGTGAAGTAGAGTGAGCTAGATGTGAATGAAGAGAGGGAGACAGGATGGACGGACAAGGATGGATGGGAGCATGTCAGTATCCCATGACAGATGTGCTTTTGGCGTTGTGGTGTGGGGCTCAGGAAAGGAGGGAGACCATGGATGGGGCCAGGCAGGTGGGAGGGGGGAGGGAAAGTGAAGACGAGGAAATGCAGGGGATGCTCTGCCTCTCTCCTCTGCCTCTCTGCTCTGCCTCTCTGCTCTACCTCTCTGCTCTTACTCTCTGCTCTGCAATGTCTCGGCACACATGGAAGGAGCAACTCACACTTCCAGGAGGCTTGTCATTTCAGACAGGACATCGGGAAGGGACCCAGAGAGGGAATTGCCGTTGAGGTACCTGCATTGACGCACGGACAGGTCATGGAGAGAGCAGCATGGATAGAGGCAAGTAATGATGTGGCTACGTACGGGCTCGGTAGGTGGGAGTGCAACCCAGAAGCGTGGGTGTGAAGGGATGTGAAGAAAGGCGGATGGAGTGTAGAGAGAGATGGGGAAGGTCCGAGACTTGGGCAGTTGCAGTGGGGGTCATGTTAGTGCGGTGGGGGTGATGGGAGTGCAGTGGGGGTGATGGGAGTGCAGAGGGGATAGCTTACATGTACTGCAACGTTTTGATGATTGATATTTCCCAAGGAATATTCCCTGACAACTGGTTGTTGGAGAGGTCTCTGATATTCACAAGGATGTACGGGAGAGAGGGAGGGAGGGAGGGAGGGAGGGAGGGAGAGAGAGAAAGCGGGAGGGAGGGAAAGCAGGGGGGAGGGATGAGGGAGAGAGGGAGGGATGGAGGGAGGGAGGGAAGGAAGAAGGGAGGTAGGGAGGGAGGGAGGGAGGGAGGGAGGGAGGGAGGGAGGGAGGGAGGGAGGGAGGGAGGGAGGGAGGGAGAGAGAGAAAGAGGGAGGGAGGGAAAGCAGGGGGGAGGGATGAGGGAGAGAGGGAGGGATGGAGGGAGGGAGGGAAGGAAGAAGGGAGGGAGGGAGGGAGGGAGGGAGGGAGGGAGGGAGGGAGGGAGGGAGGGAGGGAGGGATGGAGGGAGGGAGGGAGGGAGGGATGGAGGGAGGGATGGAGGGAGGGAGGGAGGGAGGGAGGGAGGGAGGGAGGGAGGGAGGGAGGGAGGGAGGGAGGGAGGGAGGGAGGGAGGGAGGGAGGGAGTTGGGGAGGGATGGAGGGAGGGAGGGAGGGAGAGAGGGAGGGAGGGAGGGAGGGAGGGAGGGAGGGAGGGAGAGAGGGAGGGAGGGAGGGAGGGAGGGAGAGAGGGAGGGATGGGGGGAGGGATGGAGGGAGGGAGGGAGGGAGGGAGGGAGGGAGGGAGGGAGGGAGGGAGGGAGGGAGGGAGGGAGGGAGGGAGGAGGGATGGGGGGAGGGATGGAGGGAGGGAGGGAGGGAGAGAGGGAGGGATGGAGGGAGAGAGGGAGGGAGGGAGGGAGGGAGGGAGGGAGGGAGGGAGAGAGGGAGGGAGGGAGGGAGGGAGGGAGGGAGGGAGGGAGGGAGGGAGGGAGGGAGGGAGAGAGAAAAGAGTCCGCCTTTGAGTCATAACACAGCAACAGGTCTGCTTGGGTCTCGAGTGGAAAGAGTTGCCACGGTTCAGGAGCCAGAAGAACAGTTCCTGGAGCTTAGAGAGGTCTATATCATGTTGAGAAAGATGGGGTGGAGTGGAACTTTGAGTGTACTAAAGACCAAAGCATTGGTTGCTAGAGTCTGGAGAGGTGCATTTTGAGGCGCCTCAAAATGCACTTTGAGTGTACTAAAGACCAAAGCATTGGTTGCTAGAGTCTGGAGAGGCTTCTCATGCTGACAAGGGGGACAGCAACAGGGGATGAGTGGGTGAGGGGGGCGGGGCAGATAGATGTGGCAAGGGGAAGGGCAGGGGAATGGCAAAGAAGGAGAAATGTGTAGTAAGGTGCTGTAGATGTGGCATGGTGGGGCATGGCGTGTTGTGGCGTAGTATGGCATGTCATGACATGGTAGTGCATGGCATGGCTACGCGTGGCATGGCATGGCATGGCATGGCATGGCATGGTGTGACATGGCATAGTGTCGCATTGCATGGCATGGCATGGCATGGCATGGCATGGCATGGCATGGCATGGTGTAGCATGGCACGACATGGCGTTCTATGGCAGGCATGGCAGGCATGACAGGCATGCAAGGCGTTGCATGTCAGGACATGGCGTGACATGGCATGGCGTGACGCGGTGTGGCGTGCCATGACATGGCATTGCATGGCATGGCGTAACATGTCATGGTGCGGATTGGCATGGCACGGTGTGACACGGAATAGAATGGCATTGCATGAGGGCATGGGAGAGCATTAAGGTAGCACAGGGTGCAGACGAGCTCACAGATAGTATAGTTTGGTGAGCGCACTCAGATCAGGTATGGTGTCTGAGAGATCAGCGCACTATGTAAAGAACAGCAACCGGCACGAGCTATGCCAATGATGCAAGTACCCATCGTCAAGTCACGATTGAGCTGTCTTCCACTCTGCAAGGCTGAACCGAATCTGTGTTGAGTCAAATATGTAGCTGCAGTAGGCACAACTCACAGATACTGGAGTTCTGTCATTTCGCTGATTTCACTCGGCAGCGTCCCTGTCAGTTGGTTGTCACTCAAGTTTCTGATCGCAGATGGGATGTGCAGGGAATTCACAGGGGATGCAACAGGGGAGACAATTGGAGAAAATGGGAGGGCCTGCTTTGGTAGGAGCAGATGAAAAGAAAAGACGGCATGTGAAGTGAAAGAAGGTGTGGGAAGTAGTGTTTCTTTTGGGAGTGGCACGTAGGGTTTGTCCTAAGAAGATGATCGTGTCGTTCACATGCTCCACCATAGTCTGCATCTTGTGTTTGATGCACATGTCTTGGTGCACACTTCTCAGTGCACAGTGTTTGATGCACACTTCTCAGTGCACACCACTCGGCACACACTGCTTGATACACTACCTGGCGCGCGGTTCCTCGGTGCACATGCTCCTTGCACACTGATCTGCCAATGCACTGCTCAGCTCTTTTTCCCTCCACCCCTTTTCTTTCAACCAAACTCCCCCTTTCAGACCTCCACCTATTACCATCCAAGATCAGATCTAAGCCCAATCTAGCCCCAGCCTAACCCAAACCTCACCCCAAGCCCTCACCCTCTCATCCCCCCCCTCCTCACATCTCATTAAGAACAGTAGGGTTGACGAAGGACGATGGGAGGGGGCCTGTGAGATCATTCTTTCCCATGTTCCTGAACGGGAGATGGAGTGAGGGGGAGAGGAGAGGGGTGAGAGGTGGGGGAGGGGGAGGGGGGAGGGGGGTACAGATGCCAGGGGGGTGCCGTGAGGGCGAGGTGGGGGTTTGGAGTAGGTCAGTTGGTCGGCGTGCACCCAGCGATGCAACCAGCTCTACACCTACATGTGCACGCATGGCAACATCACAACACACCCATTGCCTCGCACTCACAGCAAGGCCAGTTCTGGGAGGGTGCCAATGCTGGTCGGTATGCTGCCCGTGAGACCCCTGTTGTACAGGTCCCTGCACGCGACACATGAGACCAGCCAAACATGCTTCAGAGGTGCACAAAGTCACAGTGCATTAGTGCGAATGAGGCCCCTGGTATAGAAGCCCCTGCATGAGGCAAAGTGGAACAATAAAATAAATAATTATAATAATATACATATTAATATTGTTGTTATTGTTGTTGTTGTTATTATTACACTTCACAAGGATTGACGCGAATATGCAGAAACACACGCGGTGTCATGCTTAGCTTTTAAAGGGGAAAAAACAAAGAAGCAAGCATGGGAGATAAGTGTTTGTGGGAATATCATTCTCATGGTGAGCTCATAAATGGTGATGCCCAAGCTATTTACGATTGCATGACAGCATGTCACCGTTGGAAAGACGACTCAACTCTTCAATGAGTCATTGGCTTGACTCACAAGGTAACGACATCGCCAACGCCAGAGCAGCCGGCGCCCACAATGTTGCCGCAGTCGTTGCTAGCAAACCACGTCGCACTGCCCGTGAACGCGCCCCACTCCTGCTTCAACTCCTGAAGGACCGACCCTGGCGTGGAACAAGGGAAAGGCAGCAATTTGCATGAAAGATATGTCCCCCACAGGGACACCGTTCCTTCAAAGGGCGACACAGAGGTGCCCTTCTCGCACTTCGGTTCCTGCACGTCCGAGCACGGCGTGGGAGAATATAAGGAATAGTCGTCGCTTGGACCGTCGCACAGTAGAGGATGCTGCCGGTGACACACCACCCACTCACGTTTCGTCTCCTCAAGGACCAGCCCTGGCGTGGGAAGCCGGACGAGAAGAGCACCTTGCAAGTGAGAGATGCCGCCGCCAGGACTTAATAAATGGGTGACGGGACACGCCTCGTCCATACTTAGACCTTGTCCAATGCGACTGTTTGTAGCGTGGGACTTCGCTCGGGCGGCGGTGTCAGCCTGGTGATGCTGCTGCCGCGCACCCTCTTTAAAGCCACACCTACCGTGCTAACTGAGATGGTCGTCTATATGTTGTAAGCAAAGATGCTGAGAATACACAGATTGTAGCAGAAGATTCGGGTACCACGTGAGTTGAAGTTAGGGGCCCTCTGAGCGTTTCCAACAGACAATCGAGGTGAAAAGGGAGGACGGCAAACATCATGACCAAAATGTTGCTGACCCATACCTGCATCATGATGATGCAGGAGATTCTTACAAGCATAGTCAACGTAGAAACTTTCTTGCAGCAGCAAGGAGTGATATTTCAGCCTGGTGGACACATAATAATCATGGAGCTCCTGGTGGACACATAATAATCACGGAGCTTACACTGAGCACTTTGGACTTTAGAAGCATGGGTCTCAGGCAGGAGGGGAACCAGCAAAACCACGGTGAGGGCGATAATGGCGACCCGAAAGGTGATGCCCATGATGGGAATCCGGATACCGCTTCTGCCTGTGGCGGAGGGGCTGTTGCTGGTGGTGGTGGTGGTGCAGGGGCTGCTGCAGCTGGTGGTGGTGGTGCTGGGGCTGGTGCAGGGGCTGCTGCAGCTGCTTCGGCTGGAGTTGGTGCCGATGCTGCTGGCAGCAGTGAAACTCGTGGAGTTGCTGCTGTGAGAGGTTACCATCCGGTTTGTCTGTGAGGAAGCTGCAGAAGGTAATAGTATGCTGCTTCGTGGTCCTTCCCAAGGTGCTGAAGGAATATAGTAGCAGGAGTGCAACTGCCTGTCGAGAGCAATGCAGCCCTCAATAAGTTATCAGTAACTAACTCACGATACAGCATTAAGAGTGGCATTTTTTATCAAAAGCTGCTCTGCAGAGGTTTCAGAAAAGGCTACAAGCAGTTGGCATGGCAACATGCACCGCTCAGCTGGTTGGAAGCTTGGTACGGTCAGCGTGTCTGTGATTGTGTACGGCCCGTAAAGACAGCAAAGACCTGCCACGGTTGGCAGAACTGTGTGTTTGTGGTTCAGCAGCACCACGCACCCAGCGAGCTGGCACTTCTCAAACCAGCCTCGATTGCAACCAATCATGAGTAGAAAGAGACCTTCAATTTCGAAGCACTGTACTCGCATCGAGTGGTCGGTGGCAGGGCTCTTACGATGTTTTTTTGTGTACCCCTTTCTTGCCGGAAACGAGTTGTAGAAACTAGGGTGCTCGATGTGTTTTCGAGAAACCCGCCAGATCCGAGTTGCGAACCAGGTGCACCCTGCCACGGCAGGCTGACCGGTGAGGCGTACTAAATAAGACGCTAAGATTTCACTTAAAAATTCTCATCTGATTTGGCAAAATATATTGTCGCGAACTGAGCAGCGGCAAGGTTTTGTGTGTTTTTGCACCCTTCGTGTCAGTGGACTGAGGGGGACGGGAGGCGATACACGTTCTGACCATGAAGGTGGGCGAGGGGGAACCAACACCAGGCTTCTGCGTTTGCGTCTTCGTGACTTTTTCTGGCTTGCGCATTTATGCTTCTTTGTCGAAGTTGCTCAAACTGGGTGACATACACCCTACCTGACCAGAAATGGGCAGGAAACGACCCTACTTGAGAGGACACGACATACTCGAGTTCACAATGGATATTTCCAGCAAGGACACGTCAGGCAAAACGAGAGTGTCACCGATTTCGATTGAGCTGATTGACGTCACGATCCTTCCATTCAGTCATCCACTTGACCGCCTTTTGTTTGAAAATATATAATGTTGTTCTGTCATCAAGGTTGGCTCGGCGAGCTCGTTACAGTATCACGTAATTTTAGGCAGGATTTCGCATATGCTCGAATATGCATTTGCAGGGTGAATCCAAACACATATCTATCCGTGATAGGGTGGTGCTAAAGTCTGTTTTAGCAGGGTGAACGGGACCACTATATACTCAGAACACTTACTTGAAGATCATTGGTCGCAAGATTCTTGTTCGACGCCTGACAGCCACAAGTTTGGCGGATCTCATTGCCGAATCATTTCAGGGATTGCGTGTCAAGGACAACGCTGCAAACCCGCTGTCTGCATCGATTCGGCGCGTGCCCATGCTTACAACAGCGCCGGCTTCGCACGCGACAGA